TTGCACCCGTTATGATTAACTCGGGGTCCAATATTTTGAAATATATGGTTGGTTCCTTAATGCTTACAGCTGCCAATTTCCCGGAAAGGAATCCTAAAGTATTGTGTGCGTAGATAGGATAGTATTCTTACTCCAAGGCGCCAACTCAGAATTAATGAGGTTCGAGATTTTTGCCCTTTGGTCGTGCATCATCGGCGACTTCTACGATAAATCGTATCTTCCTCAGGAACGGAAATCATACGAAGCTATCCAGTAAACGCTTTTGACACGATTCTTCACGTTGCACAGCGATTGTATTTCAAGGCACCGTGATAAAAGTAACTGGCGTGTTTAAGGCCATCCCAGACATTGCGAAAAATACTGAAAGTCGTCAGGTTAACTGCACCAGATGGCAAGTGCATCAAGGAAATTTAGCTGCATCAGCTACCCAAATTTGTTGTCAAAATCGTGTGAGCTGCTCCAGGCGCGGCGTTACGGTAAACGTCTGAGACGGCTGACAGCATGTGGAAAAACTAGGTTTGCTTCCCGCACGTCGCAAAGTTAAGCGAATATCATGTAATTTTACTCAACCAAGTTAAGAACCTAAAGCGACGATGAACACATTGTGTACCCCAGTTAACTCTGCCGCTCAAAACCGCAGACCAAAACACTCGTTTTATCTCCAGCAAGTGGGAGAGCAGGCTGTCGCTGGCACCATCGACAATACGGATCGAAGTCACAATAGTGTCAACAACCATACATTTTCGCCTACAGGTAAGCAAGAATATAAGCGCCGCAGTACCTACCGTTGCTGGCCAACTCGACCAAATGCTTTTGTCACCAACCACAGGACAGGAGTTGACTGTTTCAACGATACGGATGCAGAAGTAAGCATCCCTACACCTGGCCAGACTAGTAGCTTACCAAATTCACCAAAAGGTTGCGTGGCGCCCACATGACGAGGAAGCCAGTTTACAGCCAGCGCACCCGCACCGGTAACCTTAGTCTGAGATGACCATTCAAATGCGCCTTATCCAGCGCTTACGTCCAGAATTATATACTCCGAATAGAATTGCTGCAGCCTTTCGATCTGCTCGTCGACTTTAACGCTACTTTTCTCGACCAGGTTATGAAACCTTTCGTCGCGAGAATATCCAGTGTTGTGGCATCGCGGAGCGCGGTGTACGCTAATGATAACTTATCGGGCTGCAAGTCCCTACTTGAAAGCTCCCCAACACTTTTCCAACATGCTTCCTTTGCTTAACGTTAGGTGGCGCTACGCCGTAACGTATACTCACCAAGGGCCTACCTGTCTTCATTCAATCTAGCTTACTGACCCAGGAAAAGTTCAAACTAGCACGCCAGAACTCAAGAGTATGCTCGGGCTGGGAATCGTTCAGCTTTTTGATATTCCTTGGTCTTTACCTCTTTACACGGTACCGATAGATTCAGAAGACTGGCGAACATGTGAGGAATAAGAAACATGCCAACTACGCAGTTCCTAACGGATATCCCATTCCACATATTCAGGATAGTACTACCGTTCTTCGTGGTGTTCGCGTGTTTTCAAGGACCGACCTGGTGCAGGTGTCTCATCAGCTCCCGAAGGCGGATCACAACAATTCCAAAACAGTTATCATTGCGCTGTTTGTAGGAGTGGCGTTCCTGTGACTGCCATCTGGACTGCGCAAAGCTACGCAGGCCTTTCAGCGCTTCTTCGATTGCGTCTTCCCGAAGCTATTTTGGTGGCAATTCCATCGAAAGGGGAATACTGAACAAACCTATGATGCATGTGCAAACGGCCAAAAGCGCAAAGCCACACGAGCAAGCTAGGCAGGGACATTTTCGTGCAGCCACGCAGAGATCTTCTTGGAGACCAACTACATTACGGGAGCATCTGCCCGTACAGGGTAGAATTGAGGCAATTCGTGAACTTCCTCGCCAAACTACGTCAGCCAACATTCTACGTTTCAACGGCATGGTTAAGTACTATTGATGAGTTTCGCCACGCTACGCCTACCTAATGCAACCATCCATGGTTCTTCCGCACGGGTAACCAAAGTACCGTTTAGTTTATGTCTGAAACCAAAACGACCTCCGGATTTAGCAAAGAAGCCTTTGCTTCCAACCTTACGATGCATCTTCTCAATGTAAAGTCTCCAACCAATTTAGGGGATGACGCATGGGAAGATGTAATTGACTATGTGCTACTGCAGTTTTATATAGACAACTGGAAGGTGCTGATCTTCTTCTTTTGATGTATTCAGGCGGCTGAGACAAGGTAGACACGTTCGACGATCAATTCCTTGCCATGTACTCCGCTGTCTTCAACCTCGACCACCTCCTGGAAACCAATCATTTTCCGAGTTTTACCGACTATGGAGAGCTGAACTACACTAACGGCAACCCCTCATTTCGACACTATCTATACCAAATGCATCATTTGGATTTCTTCTCATAGGTTTCAAAGGGTGTGCCATAGATGTCTGGCAAACATAACGTCATGTCCGATATGCTCACCAGAAAGACCATTAATGTGGCCAGATTAATTAATTCAGCTGTCAGGTATGGCCGCAGAACAAAAAACAGAAAAGGCTTTATTAGCGCCCAGAGCAAAAAGGTTGACAAAGTTGATACTGAAACCAAGTTCGTCGTCTGCTGACAATATACTCTGTGTTATATTCACTGGACATCCATGTCTACTCGTGGCTACCACCTTTTCACGGACAGGTTTGATACGCTGCACAGCGTCGCAGATCCTGGAGTTCGGCATTCAGTCAATCTGATTTGCTACTGGTGCGTGTAACCCGGTATGCAGTTTGGCATCCGAATCCGAACACACAACTTCCTGCCTTTCCATAATGTTTGCTGCTTCGTTCGGACATTCTCCGTCTGTGTAAACCCGATTTGCCTACAGCCACATCGACATCGTGGGACCACTAGCGCAAGACGAAGGCGTGGTCTACATACTGACCATGGTGGATTGAGACACCTGTCGGCCCAAAGCAGTTTGCATTCCCAAGGTATCTGCGGTGACCATAAACCTCGTACTCGTTGGGCGCTGGGTCGCCTCGAGGGCCTATCCTGCCAGCTTGACTACCGACCGTGTTCGCGACGCAAGTTCACTACATTCAACGGTCTGCTTACGTTTTTCGTTTGTCAAAGCTTCCGGAGCACTGCCTGTCGTTCTCAAGCAAACGGCATAGTGGAATGCTTCTACCGATAAATAAACACCTAGTTGACGGCCCGCAATAGGCTCAAGTGAACGAAATTCTTGCCACTGGTACACCTCGACATCCAAAATGTCCCGAACTCTGATTTGTGTACGTACAATGTTGAGTTGGTTTATAAACAACCGTGCCTCCCAGGTGACTTCTTCTCCGAGAGCTCAAACGCATCTAGTTACGACGCGCACTACTCTGGGCAGCTAGGCACGAGCATTCGCCGTGAAAACCGACAAACATAGTTGAACGCGCTGTTATATCACTTGTTCTACGGGATCTCCGTCGTAATACATTCGCCTTCATACTTATCGACGGTCTATGTAGGCCACTCGAACGACCTTCCATAGGTCCCTTCAAAGTGATCCGGCGTGATAATTGCTGCTTTCCCATCCGGCGAAAAACTGGCACAGTTGACTTGTTCGTAGTTGACTACGTCAGACTGGAGTTAAACGATAATTTACGGTTGTAAGCCTCCGACGACTCAACGCAACCAATAGCGGAGAATACACTCACCACGTCCAAAAACGATTTAACTATAAAACGGCTAACAAGGCTTTTCAAATCTACCCAGTCTAATAAGACTACGAGGTCTGACTCTCGGGTTTACTAACCGAGATGTCTTATAGGAAATCAAGTTTGCCTTTGGCTCTTAACAGCGTTTTCAGATTTTTCGTTACAGTACCTTTATAAAACAGCAAAAAGCGTAAAATGTGTTACTAAACCAGAAAAGAGGTGCATTTCTGATTTTAAAGTTCAACGTTTGGTCTCTACGGTGAGTGACAACCTTGGTTTTCAGTACTGTGTCGTCATGGCCCTTCATCCTACCATGTTCCCTTTCTGTTCCATATTCAGGACCATCGACCCGCATGTTGCAGACCAAACACGTTGAAACCTTTAGTTCGCCGAATGGTGTTATGCAATTTTATCTTTTCTCTTTCGGCACCACTAGTGAGGAGGCAGTGGGATCCATCTAGGATTCGATCACATTGTAGCTACCCCAGCGGCTGCATCAGGTTCACCTGGACCCGCAGAACGATGGTCGGCGACGGACAGTGCTCATTTATATCGAAGGTTCACCCATAGTTCCCCTGCTGGAAGGGGTCAGTGTCATAGTCCGACAATTCCGCCGTTACTCTGAGGTACGAAAGCATTAGCATTCTAACATATTTAATTTTACTAGGTGTGCACAGAATCTAACCTGTCTGTCTGTGTTAGCTTGTATATGGTTGTATGAACGGCACAGCACACATTTGCGCCATCTAGGAATGCGGATTGAGCTTGCCCCTCCATACGTTACCGTCATTTCAAAATGGATCCCATAGGTACCTTAGTGTGTCAGTGTCTGTAAAGCCGTAACTTAAACAAGATGTACATAGTCTATTTAAATCAACATTCTTAGCGCTAACTATCGGTGTTTCTGATTTACCAGCGGAGTTGTGGTGACTGGTAGCCTTCATATTGCACAATGTAGGTAACCCTAGTCTTCATCATTACAGCACGGCAACGATTTGCTTGTTCGTGATCTCTGTGCGCTTGTTGGGTACGTTAGGTTGTGGACGAGTGCTGAACCTTTGAATAAACGTCATGGAGGTTTCGTATAGCGCAATTAAACCGCTGTTTCTTAACCATAGTCACCATACGAGGTTATAAGTTTGGTGAACTCTATGGTGCGTTAGATCCAGATTTGGTGGACATTTAGTAAGAGACGAATGACCGTACAATGTTCACAACTCCTGACTTCGTTCGGAATCCTATATGTACGAAGGCAAAGCCTGTATAATTACCGAACTTCTTTTATCAGTTTTGTTGAAGGGCCCCGGATGCATTGTAAGAATGGCGACGCTTCACAGGATGCATCTTCGGAATCTGAGTAACGAGGTCGGATGTGCAAAACAGTTCAATGACCAACCTGTATGCAAAAAGTGAACTTAGGGATGGGTTTTGGTTGTTGAAGCGTGGAAAATAAAAATAAAATCACTCTTGAGTTAGACGAAAAATTACATATTTCGTCATCTGGTTTCGGTAGGAAATCATGATCGTTGGAAGATGGAAGATCCCAGAAACCTGGAAGGGAAATATCAATGATTAATGTTATGACACTGGGTACAAGCAGCTTTCTACGCAAATACATGTCGTTCACAACCAAAAGCATGCTGTTTACCGTGCCCAATTTTTGTCTCTATCGCAGGAGCATGCGCCTTCTCAATTGTTGTCGTGCAGTCCCTGCTCTCATCAAACCGTAGCCTAATACGCACTCGCATCAGCATGTAAATTAGTATATTCTGGCTGAAATTGCGTCCAAATTAGGTGCTGATAAGCTAGTCGGCTAAAAGAATGAGCATACTTCGATCGGGATGGGAATGGACATGCTGGTGATAATGAAGAATAAATCAGATGACTCGCTCTGAGGTCAACTAGGATTAGGAACAGAAAAGTTACTCGAGGGTAATAATGGGAGCATCACCTATTTATTTGGTTAATTATTCACTTTTTAGCTCAAGAATATAAATTGTATTCCCACAACTATGAGACAATAATACGTAGAGCTTGCTGATATCTGAGGTCCAACGGTAGTTAGACCAAAACTGCACTTACTGTATGACCGTGTTATCTTAAGTCACCTGCGATGGCAAATAACAGGACATTAGACAATGGTGAATCTGTGACCAAATGATGGCAGAGTTTTACCAATGTTATCATACTTGTGTGAGGCAACGAAGAAGCATTGCACAGAAGAATCCACAGTCGGGAAAAGGTGTTCACGGGAAGAACCAGAAACACATTTTACTTTGTATCCGTTTAGGGTCTGAGATTCGTCTTAATATCAAATGCTTTACCATACTGAACTCACATGTTTTATTGTTCCTTTGATATTCCATGAATAGTCGTTTCCGCTGTTTCCGAAAAGCCCTCCGGTGATAGGGACAGTTGGCTATGCAAGTTTTCAATCATGAAACTAACCGGGCTTGGTTTGAAGGCGCAGTGGAAATTCCCAGCAGCCGAAGCGGACCGAGTACACACGGACATTTCAGTCACACTCGAGTTGGGTTGGACACCTTCGTAAGAGTGCTTCCAAGTAAATTCGTTTCTTACAACCTGTTTGGGGCTGATATTGGGTATTAAAGTGAAGCGCAGGGATAAAAATTTAATTTTTCACTTATTGGACACGATGGACAATATGACTGGTAACTGGTCAGGGAAGATATAAAACTTGTTTCCCCTCTTTCCGCCTGTTATTCGGAGTACTTTCATCTAACCTCCTACGTTTCCTTCTTGAACAATAAGCAAACAATAACATAAACCTTATCTGCGGCAGATGGTCACCAGCACTCTTCAACATTCTGTCTCGCAGTTTCTCGTCATGCACCATACTGAACTTATTGGGCAGTCTGAGTTGTCTGAGTATTGTAACCATTCATCTAACAGGTGTCTTACGATTTTCGCAGTTTGTTGTCTAAAAGTCCAACTAAAATAGTTGTTCTACTGTACGCTTAGGTGGTTAATCGAAATGTGAACTACATGCCGAGACCCTTTGTTTGAACCATGGAACACGCCCTGTCGGCTTTCTGATTGGACTCCATTGCACCGCTACGGCGAACGCTACACCATTTCATCATCATAGCTTACAGCGCGTATCACAATTGTCGTCCTGTAGGCCTTAAACTAAATCATTGGGTACTCAATATAAAGGTCTTCCTAAGTGGCGATCCGATTTCTGTATTTGTAATTTTTGGTCCCACTACTATATACAAAACTACTATATACAACATACGTCATTGTAGACGTTTGACTGTCGTCGTCAAGCCACCAATGACGCTGCTACAACTGTGGCACAGAGGTTCGATCAAATAGTCAAAGTTATGGGACAATACCAGTGGATAAGGGCACATATCATTGTAGAACGTCTACAGTAGCATCTTAGTAACAATCCGTAATGGGGTACGACGTGAAATTGGGGACAGACTGGCTCGGTTATATGTTGATTCCTATACAAGTGAGAGTCTTTCTTACTTGGACGGTTTTCGCATTCCCAGACGTTAGCAAACTCGCAACGGTCAAATTCTATGATTTGTTATTTACTATGTTTGTTTCACCACACCGCTCAAACAAGTATAGAAGTACATTTTGGGGTTTTGGAGTACCCGCCATTGACTTGGATTGCAACACGCGATCTCCATTGTGGCCTCGCTTGTCTTTGAAGTCAGTCACTGCCAGTAGGATCACTGGGATGGTCACCCAGGTGGTGGCATTGTGATCACGGCGATGGCTGCCAAACACTATGTGTAAAGTTCAACTTCCAGCCCAGGTTTCCTTTACCCGGAGTACAAACCAGGACAAACGCGACGTAGGGGACAGGAAGGGGAGACAGTAACACCGAAACCCATCAGTATAGTAGTAGTTCCCGTCAGTTATCAGTTGTATTCATCTACTTAAAAATTAGGTACTTATGCCGTCCTCTTAATGAGGCCCCGTGGCACCTCAAAGTTATGCACGGATTACGTCGTGGTCACTTTCATGTTGTGCCTGGTGCTTATGGCACCGACTCCCCCAGTATGGAACAAAAATATTTGATACCTGTGACGATTCGACCCAGTACGTGTAGAAGTAGCGGACGTAAACAAGCAATGGTTATAGGTTGCTAGCTTGTTCCGGCGCGCAATTCGTCCCACTTCTGTCTTCACTTTGTGATATGTCACCAAATACCCGTCGTCTAGACAGGAAAACTAGATCGCTTTAACTTAAACCGCGGGCTTCTGGATAAAGGCAACGCCGCGTCACAAAGCTTGCTTCCTCGTACAAGATTTACTGCACATACACTACTGGAAGACATCTATGGATAGTTCATGGTTTTATGTTACTAGTGTATTCTTTAAGTAAGATTGTATTACAAGCACGAACATGCAATTGTCCGTAAAAGCCCACCGCCCTCTTGGCGGATGCACCTTCTAGCAGACTCCAAATTCTAAGCGCACATATACGCCCTACATCAGTATGCAGTAGTTGGACAAGCACGCTTTTACAGTCTCCTCTTCGAAGTACAGAGACATTGACAACATAATCCAGCTGACCACGATGTAAATGGCCAATATGGCGTAGTCTTCTTTATTATCAGATATACCTGCTTCCGAACACTTTAGTTAGCTGTGGAATACCCCTGAGTACATAGTGAACCTGAAAATAGCTACACGCTCAGCAGCTTGCTTCACTAGATGTTGCTTGTTCTTGAACGCTCTAATCATTACTTTCTTTTCAAACTAAGGCTGAAAATTCACCTGTCACGGGTACCTAAAAGCGCATTGTTGACTGGATTTGTCGTTTATCCCATCACATGCTTATGATTAGTGAGTTGCGTGCCGCGCTGCTCTCTGCCCTCGCTCATCTGCCTCCGAATTTTTGTGCCTCCAGACATTTACACGTTACGTCCAGATAGTTTGTTTTGCTCTAGAATTCCACATGGATTATGTCTTAATGTCAACTCTGACAACTAATGATAGAGTCAAATCCAGCAAGTATTTGAGGCACAGCGGACTGGAATGAATAGTATCAACTCAGAAAACCTGGTAACTTCTGAAGATTGCATGGCGATTGACTTTGGTTATAATTTGACAAAGTCAACATCAATAACCAGTTTTACAAAGTACTGCGAAATTCCATAAATGCAGACCAAAAGTTAACGTTGTAGTGATCGCTATAGCGATTTTCTCCACAGTTAATATCCGAGCCGACAAGTGCGAATACCTGGAAGCTAATATACCTGGGTTTACAAGATCTGTAAAAATGCTTTCCGTGTATGTGAGCGAGGCCATAATTATTAAATTAGAAACGCCATCACTCAAGGCGGACAGGGGCTCAACGACAACTGCTGTGGATACTTGAAATTCCCTATCCATACGGTTAGGCTCATGGTTACAAAACATCAAATACTTCCCCATCTTCCCCTTAATAGATTTTATCCTGCGTCAGTTTTAACACAGTATGCTGACCCCGTAGTCCGTATTGGATTGCCGTAGCTATCAAAAACCAACTGTGGGCCCTCGGAAAAAACAGTCAACGTTCTATTAACAATATGTTTTAATGGTTCCCAAAACCCTTGCACTCACCCCAGCAGTACCTACTGAAGCCATTTCGTTGTGTCTATCTAATTCCCAAACACTCCCATCTGCGTGTAAAAATGAAATGATCTCTCTGATGTACGGTGGAGTTAAGCGATCGGATCGTGCGAGTTACTTTTTTAAAGTTATAAAGTCGATTATGGCTCCCCTGGTAAGCAAGTGGACTGCACTGGGAACAAGCACAGAAATAACTATCGGGACACACTCCGGAAGTTTATACGTCTCCAGTCACGCAAGTCCAGAATCCGTCTTTCGCCGGTCACTGTTTTTACTCATTATCAATTATCTAGCAGCAAATATTCCGTCCCCAATGCAAATATTTGTGGATGATACCAAGATCTGGGGAGTTCTCTCAACATCTGACCGTGTTAACGTTCATAACGATCTATATCGGATTTATGAATGGGAAGCACTGAACCAGCTCCCCTGAACACTGTAAAGTGTCACTCGCCAACGCTGCATAACAAATGCACTTACACATACCAATTGAGGCAGAACATTCTACAGCACGTAATTGGTGAAAAGAACCTAAGTATCCTTGTTCAAGAAAGTCTGGGAAATGCGTTTTTACACTGGACAGCAGCACATAGCAGATTTGAACCTACGGCGTCTGCGGCGAGCTCTTAGTACTTTTGAGTGACAACGAGTACCCCTATTTAGCAACTCGTATATTCCTCCCTACGTTGAGTACGTGGTTCAAGCCCAGTGTCAGTGGTTAAAACGACACATTCTTCCTTCTGAGCAGCCTCAAAGAGGAGCGAGCAAGGCAACGCGTGGATTAGCTGGTCTCAATTAATAGCTGCGCCTTCGTTTAATCCATGTGTTCTCCTCAGCATACCGAAGATTTCGCCAGGATCCCATTTTTCACCTAACAGGCACTGAAGAACAGTGATCACCTAAGTACATCATTACTGGCCCTTATTCCTTATAATTCATGCTAAGACTAGGAATTGAAACTAGTGCCCCAGCACTCTGGCGTGGATTGCAGTAGATTCCATTACTTTCTCAGAATATCTTCACACTGAAATGCATTCGTTACCAGCACCAGTGATGAATGCGTCAAGCAACTTGTCCTTCGATAGACTGTCAAACATTTATTCAAATGACAAATACTACACAGCATTATGACGAAGCGTGCTATCTGGATTAATAATAGCTCACGTGCTGCGCCATAAACTTTGGATTCTGTTATTTTTCCCATCCTATAGGTCTTGTAATGCTGCTGCTTTTTATCCCATCAAGCACCATTGTAGTACTGAACCACGCCGATGATCGTAGAATTGCAGGACTGTTGTGGCAAGACATGGCATGTTAATCGAAGTTACACCAGGAAGTAAAAACTTATTTGGACAATTAGCCTGGTGCTCGTTATCTCGCATTGCGTGTGGCATCCTTAAATCCAGAGAAAAACACTGGTACTTTAAACGTTTAGCTGCTTTGTGCGGCAGTTTTAATGCATCTTAACTTAATGTTGCACAACTAACTGTATGCTTACGTCAGCCACCAGTGTTTGGGCTATGTCACAATTCTCCAACAGCGATACCTGATACGGCCCTACTCCCTGTCCCACTTACAAATTTAGTAAGGTTAAACAACCGTTCCGTGTTTCCATAATACCTAGTTGATGACCATAGCGGTACAAATGTTTGCGCTTACGTTTCTTTCAAAAGCATTGAATGATAAAATGGCAGGTATCAATAGGGCTGCTGGTGTAATAAGTACTTATGCAGTAGATAGGCGTTCAGCAGGGAAACGGACGCCTCTCATGTCCATTCTTATTGTAGCTGTCGCAAACCATGGCTCAACCTATTGATTGGTTCTTACATTCGTGCTCCAATTGAACAGACAGCAAACATCTACGATAAGGTAATGTCTCCTAGTCCGATGTTAAATGGAGCTAATAAAGCGCAATACGATAAATTTCCCTTTCCATTATAATACTGAAGTTTTCTGCTATAAGAACTAGTGAGTCTCGAAGCTTGATTGGAGAAAGTGGAACGCCAGTATCCAGGACTCTATGACCCCACAAACCGTCCTATATTTAACCATATCAACTGAAGTGTTCCAGCCACGATGTCGCCTTGGTAGCACACATTTAGTTGTTCAGAATGATCCATCGGGCCTCTAATCAATTCCATCCTGACCTATGTTTTTATAAGAAAACCAAACCCATTGGCCACTTCCGACCGTTGACGTAGTCCTCCCTTGATAGATTTATTCATACTCAACATAGACATACTTTCCTCTACATTTGCTAAAGTAGAAGGTATATAATAGGTAAGAATTGACGTGTTAGCCGACGTAAACTAGTTATTAATTAACTGCCTCGTAATTTGTAGATCAGGATCTTGCAGTTTGACGTCCCGTTCTTGGTCATCGGACAACCGGTTCCCGTAGGACATAACCAACTTAGTTTTCAAGTTCAAGTTCAAGCGGTCTGGAACGATAGGACTATCCCGTGAGTGTTCCTTCTTCAGCGGGTCGTTGAGCCAGTAGTTGGCGAACTTTGAAATACGGATGGACCTAAAACAAAGATCACATCACACCCAGTCCAACCAATTAATGCCCATGTATCCTGCCCTAGCAGTCCCTGCTGGGCCGGTTACGTGAAGTAAGAAAGAGAAAAAATAAACTCAAACGACGAAAGAAAACGTGGGAAGAGCTAAGCAAGGAGAATACCAAGATATTTGAGTCATTAAAAAAAGAACTGAAAAGTGGTGAATCAGCTAGGAAAAAGGGAAAGTTTGCTGTTGCCACCCAAGAGCATCGAGCTGGCGCGCAAAACCCTTAATCATAGGTTCCCTAATCACGTGATCTGGAAGCGAATTCCGGCGATCTATAACGGCGCGACAGAGGAGTTTCCGTCCTAATCCTATCAGACCGTGGTTTATGCAATTTCAGTGGGTGACCGCGGAGAATAGGTAACGTAGGGCGACTAAATAGCCCTGATAAGTCCGGTCCAATCTTACCCGTCAAAATACGATAAGTGAGAATCAGCTCACATCTTATCCTTCGGTAGTACACTGAGTACATCCCCAAACTGTGCAAGTGTTCAGGATACGTCTGTCCCCGTATACCGTGCACTAACCGAGTACCCACTCGTAACACCCTCTCCAAGTCCATTTTATCTCGGTTAAGAGATGGTAGACAAGCCTGGATACAATATTCCAGGTGGGGTCGGACGAATGCCGAGAATAGCTTCACAAACCAATTGGCCGTTAGGATTCCGAAAGAGCGGCGGATAAACCACATCATACGAAACCCTCGACAAGCAGGCTTCTTCCAATTATCGCCAGAATGAAGTGCTGGTAAGTGCACGACCCCTAAATCAATCTGCTGAGTGACAACAGGGAGTTCACCTCCGCCGACAACGCATAAGGTGGGAGGATTAGCAGCTCCGATTCGGAGAACAGAGCACTTGGCCCTATTTATGGGCATCATACACAAGGTAGACCATTCCCGGAGCTTATCCAAGGCACGCTGAATTGCCTCAGGACCCCCGGGATAACCACAATATTCCAGAGCTTGAAGTCGTCTGCAAACATTAGTGATGACACCCCTAGCTCTCCCGGCAAGTCATGTACATAGATCGCGAACAACAGTGGCCCCAATACCGAGCCCTGCGGGACGCCACTAAAGACAGCTTTCCTGAGCAAAAGGCTGCACCCCACGCGTAAGCAACCGTTTCATCCCCTCAAGGAATGCAGACACCCATTGAAGGGCGCGACCAGATATCCAATAAGATCTCAACTTTAGTGAGAGTCGAAGATGTGGAACAGTGTCAAAATCTCTCGAAAAGTCCACGAATAACACGTCTACAGCGTGGCCACTGTCTACCGCTTCGGCCCAGCTTTTACGAGCTACAAGTAGATTAGTCTGACATTAAAATCCCTTGCGGAATCCATGTTGCGCAACACTGGGAAGGTTGAATCTATTCACGTGGTTCTCCACTGAAGCCCTTATCAGCTTTTCAAACACCTTGACTACTACGCTTGTCAAACTGATAGACTGGTAGTTCTCGGGCACAGCGCTGTCACCGCCCCTAAAACCGGACAGATGATTGCCATCTTCCATTCCGAAGGTAGGATGCAGCAGTCAAGCGATATTGAAAACACGCATGTAAGAGGACCACTCAGCTCAGTGGCCAATTCATGCAACAGCTTCGGATGAATTGAGTCAGGACCGGAAGCTTTAGAGGGATTAATGCCTTGCAGTAGCTCGAAGACCTGAGTCTCCGTTAGGTTAAACTTAGCCAAGCAAGAATCCTCTGGAACTCTTGAAACCAATTCAACCTGTGGTAAGGAGGTCTCCCGAGCAAAGACCCCAGTCTACTGATCACTAAGTATACAAGCTTTGTCATAGTCCGTTTGCGCACGGGTCCCGTCTGCTCGCAATACCGCTGGTATGGCCAGCTTTGCCCCGCTGCGTCTTTTAACGTAAGCAAAAACTCTTTTTGGGATTATCTGCGGCCGACTCCGCTAAACGCTGCTCGTACTGGAGACGAACAGTTCCGAGGTGTTGCTTTCATTTATTTCTAATCTCTCGATAACTATCATAGGTACTGGCTAATGGAGTTGCTTGGTAGGTTCTCCAGCATCTAGACCGTTTCTTGCGTAGGTACTTGCCTGTGGTATCTATCCATGGAGGTTGTGCCCTTAACCCTCTTTTCCTCATGAGTGGAATATAGTTTTGTCATTACTTCAACTAGACAGAGCACTTAACAGCCGCATAAGTAGCGCCCGTAAGTGAACATCAGAAACAATTGAAAATCTTACCCATCAACCGTGAAAGCCTGCCGTTTGTTCTTAGAAGTACAGTAGCGGTGAAAGTTTGATGTCCTGAACGACCTGTGGTCGAATACCAGTGGGGTAATATGGAGGACCATAACCATTGACTTTCATCAACAACCAATAGACCCTGACCGCAAATCGACGACGGTTTCATGACGCATTTGTCCATCCCAATTCAAATACTTCCACTAAAGTCTTGGCAGGGAATAAGGGAATAGCTTCGCCTACATATTTGGCTTGACAGGTTCAAAACCTAAGCCCAACGCGAAAGTAATGCATGCGGTGGGAATTAGTGAATGTGCGTTGCTACTGATAGGAATAACTTCTCGTATGCTGTGAAGGCTAAATATATTCAAGATGGCAAATACTTGGATGATCACGTGCCTGGACCACTTCGTTTTGATGGGCTTTCCAGCAAAATGGGCTGGTAACCAGATGAACTCCACAGAGGACGTCTGTTTCATTATGGTGCTACAACATTTAGTAGCATCAAGACATCGGAACAGAGTAGGAGCTCCAAAGATTCATGTAGGTCTGTCACTGACGCTTGTGTTCAAAGTGGATCCAAACCGACACTTGTCATTTCCTAGAACATCCAGCCCGTTGAACAGTTTCTTGCTGACAATCGTCACACCATCTTTTGTGAAATTTCAAACGCCTTTATTTTTCCGTGGGAACTCTAAGCACATTGTTGCAAGATCAGTTACTGTATCAGAAATGAGTGCCACATGATTTCCGGGGCCGCTCCCCGCTTTCTGCTCGCGCAGATAAATGGAAGCCTAGCCTAATTTGAATGACTTTTATGAAATGGATGGTCACTTTGTTACTACTCTCCTCCTTACACCTTCCTTTTATTTCTGACTTAGCACCATGATTTCTATCTGTTTGTTTTCTTAACAAGTTCGCAAAGCTTAACACTTTCCACGGTGATAATGGAGCGAAGTAGCTGTTCTAAACGGATTCTGCGCTACTGACAAATTTCTCTGCGCGGACAGATTACGATCACTAATGAGATTTCAGAATACGGATAAAACTATGGAAGAGTCCTGTGTTGAAAATAGGTGCAGTTTTCATTTAACGTTGTTTGTGAGTTTTTTTTGTATAAATACCGGAATTTGTTAAACCGATAAACGTAACTTTTCCAGCCTCTGCAGACTGTCCTCGCGAAAGTCTTTACCACTGCTAGTGCGGTACACTATCAGAACCAGTGCTCCTGCAGCTGGCTGTATGTCGAGCTGAGGAGAGAAACTATACCTATATCTAAATGCTTTAAAACCAGTCTACAACAAAGATAGCAAATCAGTTACAATAAGGATTATCATTATTGGGACAGATTAAACTCACTCAGTAGAGGTGCACCTCCTCATTGGAAGGTTTACTTGAGGGGAGGAAACCAACCTCCCATAGGTGCCGTGAGTGAGAGGATGTTGACGACTCATAAGTGGGGAAGGCACACTACTGGGGATTAATTTTCGATCGGACCAGCACCGCACTCGCTTGCTCTGGACTCCTGCGTTACTGGATAACATGGCGAATGGGGTAAGCGAGCGATGACATCTGGGCTTAACTTCCATTGCAGTAGGCGGGTATAACGAACGGTAGTTGCGTCTGATGGACTCAAGCTGAGTTGGCCATGGGACGCAGGATGTGGGTCGATTAGTTGCGCGGACGGATCTGTTTATATTCATTAAAGCTGAAAGACTAAGGAGAAGTACACATATGGTACAATTGTCTTGGAGCATCCTTTGCTAAGTTACAAAGTCTGTTGAACGAGGAGATTCATCTACAGTCCAAATATCACAGAGGAGCAACTGAACGGTTAACCAGTGCAGTGAGGACATGGTGGCATGCAAGACAGCGCTTGAAAAATCGCGTCGCTGTGAAGTGAAAAAATCGATGAGAGACAACATTGAGGTTACCCGGGTGTTTGACATAAGCCATCCAAGTACGCCGATTTTTGTAACGGGGCATAGAAGTAAATGAGAAATGAAAAACAGTTTAACGTGAACGTTGTTAACAACGTGCAAGACATGAGCAGATGCTACGTATCTTAAACTATCTACAAGGAATGAGGCCATTTGTAGTCATGCCAAATCTGTATTGCGACATAGTTCGTATCGATCCTTCATTCTGCGTGGTTGTCTTAACCCAAACAGTTGAAGCTACCACCATTTCTATGGTCTACCCTTCAGCATGTTCTGAGGAAGCAGATTTGTTGAATACTTAATGTCTGTAATTGCATGCAGCTATTTTTTTTAACAAGCAACAAAACCGGTCGTTTACTACACCAAGTTTCAATTGCAACTGCACAATAACACATTTCGTATGCCTACAGATTGCCTGAGCTGGCCCCGTGTAGTCATTCACTGCAGCGGATACGAACGACCATAGCAGACATGAGCCGCACTCGTCGTACTCTTCCTAATGACTGACTGAGACGATGGGTGCAACGGAAATGTTTTACTGTACACCATGAAAAAATGGCATGCACTTCATTTCTATTTGATACTCTTAGGAAAACTAACGGTTGGCTACGAATTACAAAATAAAATTGATATTTTAATTTGTGATCTATGCTCCAACTCATAAACCAAAACAGCATGACCCCTCTATTTGTAAACCGGTAATTAGTATCCACTTCGTTTATAATTTTATGTTCTTTTATACCGTAAAGTTGCCGTTCAGCCTACCTTTTTTGATCTTCACCCTCTTGAATGGACAGTTCTTGATTAATTTTTCGTACGGATTTGGCCAGCTGATTTAATAGGCGGGTGTGTCGTACTGTGCTTTCTGACTGACGAAGCAAGGCCTCAACGTCATCAGTTGAGAGAGGTATACGTCGCTTCCCGACCCCACCAGTACTCTGAGAAGGGGAAACATGCGCAAAATGCATGTACTTTCAGTTAATTTCGCCTCACTTGGACCTAACCATGATGTTTTGTGGAGTAAATAGAATGAAATCAACTTCTACACTTCGTGTTTACCGAACAACAAAAAAATGGTTGGGAACTGAATCGTATGGCGAGTAAACCAATAAGAAGTTGAAGCCATTGTAATCAAAGGACTGCACAAATCGATCGCTTTCAATTTTAATGAGCACGGGAAGTAAACCGGCGCAGAAGCTCTTAGGTTAAGAATGATGGCACATAGCTTGTTCATTTCAAATGTTGGCAGTTATCTTTGTGAGACCCAAATTCGTCCCCTACTAAAAAAATATTTGGTATTCCACAGCGTTGGAATGGTTGACAGAATTGCAAGCAAAACGTGTGTAATTCTGTCGTGGGAAAAGACACAAACATATACTTAACGCTCGTTGCTACGAGATGACACCTAAACCCATTCGGTTACGGAGACCAAAAGCATGCAATGTGAAGAAGATACTGGTAAGTATGTTTCTCGAGTTCGCCAGCTACTATGCTGCCGTTTTGAGTAGACTATGTTATGTTGCTGTGGTCACGTTCTTGCTTGCGTATTGCATTGATGAACTAGTCTAAACCCCAGAGGCAGAATAGGAACCTGACTTTTGGCAAGCTATTATAATCTGTGAGGAAACCGTCAGGCTGCATGGTCTATAAGCGAAGTGCGAGGGATAAGGTGCACAGCCCATGTTAATGGCTTACCTGGAGTCTGCAGTCACAACAGTGAATGCAATGCAGTGAGCTGATTCAACCGTACCTGACAGTCCTACGAGACTAGTTATGTTGTTGATTGAGGTGAACAAAACTAGGAATTCTCGCAAACATAACCACCGAAATGGGGGGGGGGTGACTAGCGCACATTAATGCAAGAAGTGTGTTACTGTTCAGCTTTCTTTCAGATTACGGGAGGTAACCACCGTGCAAAATTCTACTGACGGTGATACCTTGTTTCTCGTGTTAGCCAGCTGTTTACAGCTTGGCAGCTAACGCAGGCCCTCTGCTGTGAAATGCTTTGAAGTCGTTAGGATAACATGACAATTAACATTATTACTGGGGGTCAAATGGAAAGGACCGCGTATTGCATGAATAGATGGCAGGGAAATGGATAACAGATGTGTGGGTGGATGGGACAAAACTAAGCCATCGAACTAATTACTGCATTCACTGTATCCCCAATGCTGATGTCTTGCTATGTATCCACAACTGTTAACAGCCTTAACTATTCACACCCAGGTTGCTCACACTAACTGTACGCTGAAAACTGACAGTTCATCTTTACAATTCCCAACGGTTCTGGCACCACTTTAATCGGTTTGAGTGTTGCTAAACTAAGTTTTCCAAAGCATAAATTTAGCTGGTGACCCCGCTGTGTTGTAGAACTGATCTCTCAAGTAGGGGGAGTGCGTATGCAAATAAGAAGCTGTTCTTGTACGAACAACACTATAAATGAACTACCATTTGTAGTGCCGGAATAATATGTGGTAAAATAGCAGTGTACCAAAGTGTCTGGCATTCCCAGGTGCGGACAGGTTACAGATCCCTGGATTTTACCTACATATGTAGAGAATAGGTGTATGCAACCGGCTAGTTTAGTAACAACGGGAAATTAAAAGAAGGTTCTTTTATGAACGTCTACGTAGCCACATTGAGTCGGATAGCCGCCGCACCACCGTTATAGCATTGAGCGGATGCTTCAGCTCTTTGGGAATAGTTGGTATCGTACATTCCATCTGTCTACAGATGGGTCGGAACCAAGCATTTTTGGCTCCGAGTGGTGATTCTGCCCAGCAGGGAGTAGCTGAAAAGTGTATTGCTGACAAATCTCAGGAGGTTAAAAAGGCCGTCGAATTCTTTTACTTTTACAAATCTCCCGAAAATCTAATCTAATTCCGTTCATTTGTTACTTTCTTAAACTATGAAGAAATATTGTGCCGTAAGTCTTCGCGTCCCATCTGACGGGCAATTCGTTGACGGCATACTTTTGCGGGCAACAGCAAGCATAATGAATTGTCGCAACAGGGACAGTGAGAACAACACGTCAGTGGGTAGAGCTCAAGCCGGTGACTCTCCTTGATGACTTTGTAGGGTAGGACTGTTAGGTCTCGAACGGCCTGCTCTAAGGAAAATCGCGTTGTCTGAAAAGCAAGTCGAGTTGGCGCCAATGATTCAGGCCAAATCTTGTAACTTGGATGGAAAAACAGAATTTCACACAGACCAAAGTCAAATGCGCACCGAAACGAAACAAATTGACTTGTTCGGAAAGGTAAGTGCGCGATTTCCCACAAGGAACCGTGTGCCTTGCATTAGAACAGTCTTAGTTACAAGCAGACTAGTGTGTTTTTCCATGTTGCAGAACATTGTTACTATCGCTTGTTTCACGCAACTCACACGTCCCTTGTTTCTGTGAGACATATAAAAGCAAACGAGCACACTTCCGTGATTTGAACTGTATCGGTGTGTTTTCATCCCAACGCGGCCTGTTCTGTGTTTCGCCAATATACCACTCGTCCAGTGGTTTGTCTTTTGAATCGCGTGGCACAATCTAGGAAGCCGCTAAGTCGAGCCCTGAAGACACAACAAGGACATTAAACACTTAGCGCACAATGCTTGAGAAAATGTACCCGTTCATTCTTCTCTTCTGACTTCACACATCTCAGCCGTGTCTCTGAGCGTGTGAGCAACAGTTCGAACTCTGCCCTCGTCCTCTCCAAAATGGGATCATTCGCATTCGGATTGTGCTTTGTAAGTTCCCGATGGTTCTCTGCTATGGTTAATAATTGTTTTTCTCTGTCGCGCAGTGTTAACACGAAATCCTGCAAGAAAAATTGAAAAGAAGATGACGAGTCCGTGAATAATAAATCATTAGTTAATATTTCTTAATGTAAAAGGGTAGGAAAAATACAAATGCCAGTATCTAGTTGGCGTCCATAACGCAAGCATATACATCTGTTGTTGTTGACAGTCACGATGTCATACATGCATAGTTTATGCAGTCGTTCTGGTTGTCAATTTGTAAAGTTGAAATGGTGCCAGAAGCATGTATGTGGGCGGAGCGGTGCAATGAAAAGTTAATAGCAATTGTCACGACATGATCGCCAAGGAACATCTGTTGGTCATCGCAGCTACATGCAGTTTCTCCAAAACATGCACGTTTGATTTATGATACGTAATTTACTCAGTCTTTTGACAGGCGGTTTGTTTAAGCAATACTCTATGAAGAAGGTAACAATAATTGCTATTTCAGCTGAATTTTTAGATGCTGACACCTGGTGCAGCCTCGCATCAGCTGGCATAAAGCATTGTTGGTAGGTACAGCTGCCTGATGCGATAGGGAGAGGACAAAGCCGAAACATTGCTTTTCACAGCTCAGAAGACTAGTCAATCCAAAATGCGTCCTTCAACACAAATAACCCAAGTGTACGTCTGTACCGTAAGGCGGACAGATGCCCAGAAAAAACGCCTTTTCCTGGCCGTCTGAAGATAAATTACAGAGTACTGCCACAATAATGAAGCAAAGTTCTCCGGCAACTTCTCACCAGTGAGGTTGATGGCCAATAAAGTTACAAAGACGAAAAGGAGTACAGTTTTCGTTTTCATACTTCAGACTGGTACTCAGCTAAAGCTTTAATTAATTAATAAAGCGCAATCCGGATACAAATGCGACTCACATCATGTATGAAAACGCTTCATTACCGTGATTAGTCTCGAGTGATTGTTTATAGCTTAAATGAGTTTGTTCACCCGTACCCACGGCAGTGTATGTTCGGCTGAAGAAACGGTTGCTTTCTTCAATCCACTCAGTCTGTATATTTTACCTGAGCTTCATGTAACGAGCCAAGCTACCGCTTAACGGGCGATGATTCTAAACTATATAAAGTCCGCCGATGAACCGCCGCCTATTTAGACCGAGAATTAGCGGGTAAGATGATATTAAAATCGAAACAATGTATTCTCTATAATATAGATTTTTAGTAACTTAGCTGAACTTCTGATGTATATGAAAACCAAGAGTGCGTTCATCAGCTGATGACATCTTTCATCGCCTCCTTTACTCCTGTCAAATGTGATGCGTTCTGATTAGTCAAATGACAAGTCCCTTTAATACTGTGGCGGTTTCATTGTTATATCTCCGTTGATTTTATCCAAGGCTAGGAAGGTTTTTAAAATTCACTAACCTGCTGAGGTGCTGACTACGCCTCGGCCACCCATGTTCTGGCGACCAGCAAGAGATCCTTACAGTTGTTAATCGCATATAGTTTCTTTCATCAACTTTATCCTTCTTTACAATATTCACTTAATCGAAGCAGTTCTTACAAGCCTTCAGCAAAGAGTTTCATTCCCATCCAGCGCATGTACGATTTTCTGGATTGCAGTTTGACTATTGCGAGGCCAGAAGCTTCTGTAGCATATCCGGCTGATTGCTATGGTAAAACTATCCTAATTCAGTATTGGCGTTAGCCATAGGGACGAAGCATACGGCCACCAATAATGAGAAAGATACCAGATGAGCGGTTTGTATTGCGGGACCCGTCAGCAACGCGCACTTCTTCCAAATTCTCCTTACTTCGAACCCACGACGGTCCAAGTTGTAACTAACAGGTTATGTCATTCCACCGTGAGGGACGGCGTTGGCCAGTGTGATCAGTTTGCTACTTGCTATATATTGCTGAAGTTGATGTTGCATGCATGATGCTGCCTCACCGCGGTTGGGCTAAATCGACGTACACCTAAATCAAATCTTTATAAGCTGGATAACAGTGATTCCACCTTATTTGATTTGTTCAGTTCTGTACTTTTGCTGCGTCTTGTGTCAAGTTTGTGTGATTGCTTTCACTCAAATGCCATGTCGGTTGTTTGATATCTCCGGCGTGGATCCGCTTGATGTGTGTTGACAAGGTGTCTACTAGTCTAACACCCTCTTCCTCGATTGCTGGCGTTAGAAGACTGTGAATGTTTTCTGGGGAGAACGGGTGCCCGATCTTCATGGCCGTGTTAGGCTCAAATATTGGTTTCATTCAGCGTGGAGCGCCGTATGACCTATCCACCACCTTGCGTTCCTCTGATACGCATGATTCCCTACATAGATAAACAGCAATATTGATTCTGTGCATGTTAGAGGAGAGTGAGCCGGCTCCGTTGATGAAAAGTGGCTCCTATCCACATGTCTCCCGAGCTTATTTCTTCGGGTGTAAATTGGACATGGGGTGTGTGGATGGAGCTGTGGGCGGCGCAGCGTAAGCAACCCATCGTCCTTCCGTAGACGCAGGCGTCCTGTGAATGTCCTAAGGTAGCTGTATTGGCAGGCAAATCCGGAACCGGTTGCCGCCAACCGTATATCGCTGTTATGCGAAGTACTGGTTGGGTAACCACCGGTCGAAAACTTTATGACCATTATAAACGGCCTGTGGCAAGCCCCAGAATGCCTGCGTCTATAGAGGGACCATGGGTGGCTTGCGCTGCACCACCCACAGCTCCATTCACACACCTCATATCCAGTGTAAACCCGAAGGAATAAGACCGGGAGGCATGTGGATGGGAACCACGTTTCACCAACGGAACCGGCCCACACTCCTTCACAGCTAAAACAAGCACACTGTATTTGGGAATCAAGCGCACACAAGGCGGTGGCTGGACCGTAGTCCGCTCCACACTGAGTGCATGGAACCACTCTTCGATCCTAACACGGCCACAAGGACCGTGCACCCTATCCCGTCCAGCAACGACCAACTGTCTCCTGGAGCCAGTATGGACGAGATAGGGGGTAATAGACAGGTACGCACCTTGTTAACATGCACATCAAGCGCAGCGACACCGGGGATAGCAAACAACAGCCAATCATTTGAGAGACAGAGAGAGAGAGAGAGAGACAAAGAAAATAACTCGATTAATGCATAAGGAATCGGTGACATAAACATTAAGTTAATGAGCATATGAAATGAGTTGTTTACAAACGAATCCTAGATAAGTTCACGAGGTCAGAAAGTATACATGTATACATGTACGCCACTCTGCCGCAATCCATAAAAGAAAATATTGCAACAGATGCATGCCAGCTGAGTTATAAGTAACCGATGCGCTTAGTTCCGGAAAGCTACCAGCCGGCTGGTATGAAGCAGAAAATATTTATCTTGCAAAAGTACATTAGGCTGTGAAGTGAAATCGTGGTTGGAGAAAAAGGCTGAGGAATGGGGTGGAACAAATCAGCTCACAGCACGAACGCCATTGTGATCGGCTCCTAGTCAAGTCAGCAAGTGTATCCAGCCAAACGCGTTCATCGTATTTCGGATTCAAACCAGGGAGCCGAGACGCTCCAAGCCACGCCAACTCCGAAGTGAAGGTCTTCATTCCTCTCGACCCAGTCATTGCTTGGCCACCTCTCCTCTTCTTCCGTCTACACACCCGGCGCGCAAACAACACACGCCGCGGGAGCCGATGGGCTGACATGTATAACGTCTGGCTGGACCATCGGAGACTGATGCGTGAAGTAACGGGGCTGCTCGGTTCACTTCCTTTTCCTGTGCCGTAAACAAGACGTCAAACACGCTCATTGCTCATTCGGTGCTCCCACCAGATGTGAGCCAAAGTATAAAGGCACAAGTGGTCGAACCTAATTAGCCTCTTTATGTCGGCTGTTTTAAGAGGCCAGGCTTCACAACCGTACAGTAGGGTCGAACGTACCGCTACATTGTATACTCTATCCTTCAGAGTGAGAGTAATGACGCACCGGCGTCATAGGTGGCGCAGGTTAGTAAAACTTTTCGTGCTTTTGCTATACGGCTGTAAACAGCTCTCACCACTACCCTTTGTGGGTCGATGGATGCGCAGGTGTGACATGCTAGGTAGTGAGATCTCAGCGTTGGTGATCGCGCTATTCAGCCACATCACGGTTATTATGATGAGGCCCCATGACACTTAGGTCTCACGAGTTAGAAGGAAGGCCAATGTTGCTGAAGGCCATGCACGTTTGTATATAAACAGTTGGGAGTTACGGATGTCTATAGCGTATCTGAACATGCAAGATATCCCTATGAAATTAGGCTTACCCTTGTGAGGTAGCTGACACTTTCTTTCTTTTGACTGGACTTCTGACATACCGCCAAAGGCCAGTTATAACTGGTGCACAGAAAACTAGCTAACTAACTCCGCAGTCCACGCTTGTGGCGGATTACTCGTTTCTTGTTCTGGTGCTTAAGGAGTTGTACTGTGTTACAGTTCGAAATTGCAGACATCTTCGACTCGGAACATAATAATGTAGAGGGGCTGCTTCCAAGAATGCCTCGGGGGAGCTCTTCGGAGCTAACTGAGAGCGGATCGAGAAGAACAGCTAGCTACGAGCCTGGGCCCGGAACTACGGAGCGAGAATATATGGACAGCGCAATAAATCAGACATATACGCAGCTAGCGCAGCCCACAGGACCGAGGCCGAGCCGATTGACACAGCCCAGAACAAGCAAGTCGAGAGCTCTCGAATGACTCCTGGCCGATCCAAATCGGGTACAGAGAAGTGGAGATCGAGGCGAAAACAGGAAGGCGGGTTTTCCAAATCAGAGCTCCCGAGGCGAAAGGACTGGCTCGTCTCTAACATCCGTACCTGTGTTGCGTTGTGGGACGGAAATCTAATTGATATTCGATGGAGCGCGTGAGACCCTCATGTGCCCATTTTCGGTGTGCAATACACGTCTACCCCTGTCTACTCCTGTCGTGTCGTTTTCGCTACAACATTACTGGTTTTGTGTTTTCGTAACCAATGGTAGTCTAGCTTCAACCGTCTTTTGATAGCAGTTTGGTGCGCAACTTGTACCGAGTTCCGAGC